TTCCAGGGCAATATTTCTTGTAGTGCAGACAAAGTCAGCGTTTTGTGGGTTAATGGATACATGGGCACTTACTCGGACGTAAAAACTACGCAGTTTCAGGTTCTGTTCCAGGTCCCCTTAACCCCTTACCCCATTAACCCCCTGGTGGCAGACTGTCCCCCCCTTTTTGCCACAACACTTTCTCAGCCAAACACCCATTCCCTTTTTTGTGGCCAGAAAAATAAACTGGAAATTGCGTGGAGAGAAGCGCCGCTAAATGCAAACAATAACAGAGCGTCAAGTTGCCAATAGATTGGCATGTCAATCAATCAATACTCATCGCACAGTCAGCCAGTTGGACATTCACACACTCAATCAGTCAATTAGTCGGCTGTTTGGCCCACATCCACATCAAATGGATCTTCCAGCACCTGTCAATTGGATATATATATATATCTCCAGGAACAACTCAATCAAATAGACCGATCTGATCAAAGGAGACTGACAGAGATATAGGAAAATAAAGAAGTGGATTGGAGGATCAATAGTTTATTATAGGGGTAGATATTAAAAACACAATCTAAGAAAGTGTATTGATTAAATTGGAAATAGTTTTAGTTATATCTCATATTATATCTAAATATAGATTATTATATCTAAAATTATTATCTAAAAGATATAATTATTTGGTTATTATTTTTTAGCCTGTTTTTATCCCAACTAATTGACAGAATGGTTAAGAAGTGGCAGAAGAATCTTGTGATCTCGAATTCTTCGAGAAGATTGGAATGCCAGTCTTCCCCTTTCTCCCTCTTTATAATGAAGAGATCGCGTTGGGCAGATTTCCCTTGAATGATGTCTATTTTGCAAGTAAATGTGGCAAATCGCCGGGGAATTCCATGCGGCAAATGAACCATTCCAGAAGACAACATAATCTACAATACCCATAAGTGCCAGAATATCAGGGAGTAGGGGAGTTGGGCAGTAGGGGAATACGATGAGTACAAAGCTGGGAAACTCTGACGTTGACGACCCCCAGCGATGGAGGAGCTGTCTGTCTAGATCGGTACTTGTGCAATTTCCCAACCCCGAGTGGATCATCGCCTGGGGTCTATTTCAATCACGGAGCACACTATCTGTGCTCTGTCTAATTGCCAGGATGACTTCAGGAAGTACTCTGAATAACGGGTGGCACTGCCACTCCCCCTCGCTTTCACCCACCGAAATTTCTTCGGATGAGCGCAATTTCCGCTAGAGAAGGGATTGGCAACTGTCGCCGATAAATTTCCCTGCAACTTTTCCGCCAGTGGCCATAAAAACGAACGCACGACAAGCGGCAAAGGCAAAAATAGCTTTAACTGCCCCACCAATCTGGAGATCCGAGAGATTCAAATCCATTTCATCTTCTCCAGAACGGAACTGCAAATGGCAATGCGAATTTGTTAGCGTCCATAAGTTAATTTGGACCTAATGTTATGACACTTTCCATATCGTCGGGCTCTTCCCGGAAACACTTAATAGCTGCGGATCCATAAAGTAGAGTAATTATATTTATAAGTCAATTATCGTAGGAAGTCGGCATATTACCGAAATTTATAGATAGTATGAGTTTGATGATCACAAGAACATAAAAACATTTGTTTATCGATAGATAAATAAGTTAAAGGTGTGTTTTCTAAATCTATCGTTCAGTTCTGTTTAAGCTGATATGTTAACGAAATTGTCAATAAATATATAGATAGTATAAGTTTGTTAGACTCATAAACAAAACCATTTGCTTATCGATAGATAACTAAGGTATAGGTGTGTGTATTCAAAATTAATCATTACATTATTTTTAAGTCGATTACCAAAATTAGGCATTTATATATAGATAGTATGAGTTTGATGATCACAAGAATATAAGAAAATTTGCTTATCGATAGATAACTAAGGCAAAGGTGTGATTTTTGTAATCTATCGATCAATTCTGTTTAAGCTGATATGATGATTTTCTTATTGATAGCTAACTAAGGTAAAGTTGTGTGTTTTTTCATTAATCAACACATTCTATTTAAGCCGGAATATTACCGAAATTATGCAATTATATATAGATAGAATGAGTTTGATGATAACAAGAACGTTAGAACATTTTCTGATCGATAGATAACCAAAGTAAAGGTGTGTTTTTCTAATCTATCGATAATTTCAGTTTGAATAAATTTCCTCATTGGTAAATAAATTTCCCCCAATCCAAAGCTTCCCCCCACTTGTAAACATTCAATGTTGAATTTGGGGAATGTGTAAATCAGTTCCGGAATCAAATCGGAACATATGTACATACGTATGTGTATGTTTCCAGCACATGTATGCATATTCGTATATAGTATTTCATAAATCCATACGCACTCCATCACATTAGTTGGCTATTTTATGGGCTCTTTTCGATTTCATTTAGCGCTTGGCTCATTTCGACTTGTTTTTCCCCCATTTTTTTTTTTTGACCGAGGGGGGAAATGGAAGGAAAATGTCGAGCACTTCCAGGGCATCTCGTGTTCGCCTTGTTTTTCCCGCTTTTCGCTTAATTCTGATTACATTTATTTATGAAAACGGGCGTACATATAATTTCCGCTCGCCGGCCCCAACGGCTCCACTGAATTATGTCAAAAAAAAGCACAAAAACAAAAAGAAAAGCACCGAAGAAAAATCAAACTACCAGAAAAAATAAAAAAACAACAAATCGAAAAAAACTAATAGCGCCTTTGCCTGCCAGTGGAAATCAAAATGAAAATGAAAAGCGCGCATGTAAAAATAGCAAATGAAAAGCGCATCCAAAAAAACACACAAGCCGAGGAGAGAAATGTGAACACTTCAAAGCGAATGCGAATCAAAGTGGAGACGGAAAGAAAGAATAAAGGAAAACGAGGGGGGAGGGAAAAGGTGAGAGATAGGCAGAAAAAATTACTATTTTACACCTGATATAAGTAGGTAAATGTTTGATTCTATCAAAATTTTTACTTTCATTTTCCTTTTTTCAAATTTGCTTATTTGATAGTCCTGAAAATAAAGACTTATCATCATAAATCATATCACTTAGTTTAGAAAAATTGTTAGCTGGGGGGTGTCACAAAAAAAAACAGGTAAAGAATTTATAGAAAATATTAATTTTTAATACCTATACCTTTTATTTCTATTATTGCCAAAGGTATAATCGGTATATTTTTATAACTTCCTTTATCCTGTAAAAATATTATATTTATGCATTTCTTTTAAGGGTTTTTTTAGTATTATTTTTTAAGTATTGCTTATATTATATTATTGTTGTCGTTGTTAATTCGTTTTGTTGGTTAATAAATAACTACATAAGTTTATTTATATTCTATGCGAAAAAGTGTGAAAAAATAGGAAAATTGTTTCCAGTGTGGCCAAAGGTGCAACTGAACCAAATTGGCACACCTTTCCTTCGCTGAAGAAGAAGAAGAAGTAGGGGAGGAGAAGCCGAAACCGAAGAAAACAAATTAAATGAAAATAAATTATAGCGAATCAGCTCTCTATACATATATGAAAATTTCGTGTGTGTGTCGGACAAATGAAGCGAAACGTTACGTTTTTTAGCAGCTCACTGCCCCTGTTAGTTTTTCCCGTATTTCCATTTTCTTTCGGTGGGCTTTTGCCTAATTATTGTTGCTGCTTTTCATAGTCGGGCGGGCGCATTAAGAAAAACTTTATGCGCCATTGAAGCGTTCGAAAATAAAAGTCGCGTCCGCTTGCGTCAAACGTTGCCACGTGTGTTCTTATTTTTTTTTTTGATTTTTGTTTTTAGTTTTAATTTTTTTTGTGTATTTTTGCCAGTGTGTGTGTGTGGGGGGGGGGGGAATTCACTCGTTACGCACACACGGCGTAATTGTAGCAGATCGCGTATACGCCGCATGGTCCCCCCAAAAGAAAAACAAAAAGTGTTGCCACACAGAACACCAAAAAAAAAAAAAAAAAAAAATACTGAATGAAGTAGGGGTAGGAAATGGATGGAGAGGTACGTAGATACATTGTATGCGGTACAGTAGATTATCTTTTTTTTTTGCCACCCAAAACATTTGTGATTTAATTGCAAACAATCTTGAAAGAGTCGTATATTCGTATTGTTCTTATTCATCAATTCTTTTTTTGTTCTTCTCTTTTTTATTTGTAAAACAATTAACACCACAATTAAGTTTTGAGCGAACTGAATAAATTAAATTAGATAGTGTATTTTACTTGATTCGATTAAAAATATTTTGAAACTAGAGTTTTGTTAATAATACTCGTACTCTCCTGAAAATATTATAAGCAGAGAAATACTTCCTTATTAGATATCTCTTAAATTTCTTTACTTCAATATTTTGTAAGTATTTCAAAATTGTTTTTACTGTTCCTAGCATTTTCGGACTATTTATTTTACCAAATTTCCAGGGCTGTCCGTCAGTTCGAGTGGCCAAAGATGCGGCTCAAGTTGATTGAGTTTGTGGTCTCTATTGCAAAATTGGCCATTTCACAGGCATTTGTCTCTTATCAAGCCATTCGATTTGATTTCCCCATTTTCCAGAGTGATCTGCCACTTCTTCGTGTTTTTGTTTGTTATTGTGCCATATGTTTGGGGGCATCATATAAGATTAATTGAGTTCACATTTTATATGTATGTAAAAACATACTTGTACATGTCTGTTTTTGTGGTTTTATAATTCCTCGAGTGAGATTCATTCGCTGGCGGAATTTTAATTGAAGCTTTTTTGGCGACGCCGAAGGTCGTCGATTTGTATTGGGAATTCTCCGAATCGAATTGGATACGTTTTTTTTTTAAAGTGGGGGTGGGGCTAGATGGTATGGTGGGCGTGGAGAAGGTAGTGCCTCCTTTGAAGTCTTCTGGTGTGGCGGAATAGATTAAGAAAAGGCAAAGAAGAAGTTGGTCAACGAACGAACGAACGACTCTCCTTTGATGTGTGATCATCTCCCATGTTTACCCGTACTCTAATTTTCCCTATATTCTCTTTTTCATTCCGTTTCAGTGGACCGGGCGATGAGTCCGGCACAATCGGAGGACTCCGGACTGGCACCGGAAAGGGGAACCACCTACGCCACCATCACTCTGCCACGGAATGCCCTGCATTTGGCCATCACATTCGCAGGTGAGAAGGGGGTCCATCCCACCACATTTCACATCCACTAATGCATCTCAAGTGGAATGAATGAAGGGTTGGGGATCCGTGGGGTAAGTCGATATCTTTATGGCGGTTTTTGGGTGGAAGCACGGAAAATCTTCTGACAGCTGTCATAGGAAATCAGCATTGATTATATAATTGTATTAGACACAAATTGAGCCACGAATCAATCAAATCAATTGGCAGCGCACTCTATGCGGGTCGCTAATAATGATTGCTTCACCCATGGAAATCTCTGATCTAATCCGATTTTTTATTGATGGATATTGAAGTTGTCAGATTAAATTTGAGATACAAAAAGGGTAGTTGTAATTATTATTATAAAGTCTCCCTTTTAAAATATTATATCAAATGGAATACCAAATTACCCAAACATTCGGTATTAAATATGATATGATATGATGATCAAATAAAAATCATATTTGTATGTATCGCAATTCTAACAACTAGGCTTTTAATATCTAAAACCATATAGATGGTTAGGGAGGCATATATCAGATGGCTGTACTAATTTCTGGGGCTCAGCATTGATTTATCGTATTGTCGATGGGGTCGGGTCTATGATGGGCTGCCCTATGATTTCGTTTGCAATGGGATGGGATATGGTATTAGTTGGCATGGACAACATTTCGGGGTGGTTTCTTGTCTGCGGCTATATGTAGCTCTATATAGCTGTTGCCATATAACGGTATTGCTATTGCCGTATTCCGCCGATCGCCAGACAAAGTGGGCCGGCCCCGAATCATTCGATTTGAATGCGGAACGCGTCTCCGTCTCCGTCGATTCGATAATGCCGTTGCTCCGTATTCTCCGTCTGCCGTTGTCGCTGCCAAAATAAATCATCGTTCCAATCTAGAGAGAATACCCACCCCCAGGGGCAAGTTGAGGGGGCGGGACGGGGTGCCGATGCCAGACATAATAATGAGTATGTACACGTAGGCACAGTGGCATTCAGAGCTATAGTTACCATTCCCAAAAAATATTAACCCTATTAAGAACTGTTGCTAACGAATAAAGCTTAGAAAATAGAAATATTAAACTGATATTGAAACCAATTATTAGTTTTTTTAATTCTCAATCATATTTTAGGTTAGCTCCCAACAAATACCTTTATAGATTTAAAAAAACTTATACGGGGGAATAAATAAAAACAAAGAGTATACCCAACCTGATAACGGATTGAATTGTTATATTTTTAAAACTCAATCATATATCTAAAAAAATAGGTAGCCAATATAGTTATAACCCTAATTTTATGAAATGGTTATAAGGACTGAATTAAAACTTTTCAACGTGATGATAAATATATAATGTTATATGATGTTCTTTAAAAATCTAAATAGGAATATATTGATTTAGGGCTCTGTTTTAAAAGTATATTAGTTTAATGTTGAATTTAGACATAGGCTTTGGCAAATATTTTTAATACTTAAAATACTTTATTAAATATTTAAAAACCTAGTAACTCGCCCCGTGCTGTAGCTGTGACTGATTTCGTCTGAATCAGAATGTAAAGTCCACCCATTCGGATTTTGTACTCTTGACTAATCTGCCGCGTTGGGGATTTGGCGAGTGTGTGAAGTGGGCAAGGGTCGGCTGTTTCTTTTGGGGGGCGTGTTAACCTTAGACTTAGACCTCGGGTACTTCTGCTGTTCTTTCCTGACGTAAGCAGCGCCTCCATAAAGCCCCAACCCAATCCCCGACATTAATATCATCTTCTCCGTGGTCGCCAGTCTGCAATGTATGTTGTCATAAAGCGTCGCGTCGGTTTTCCCCCTCATTTTCTTGCAATTTTTTGGTTTTCTTTTTTGTATTTTTCGGCGGCTAGTTTTTCAGTGTTTTTTTTTTTTTGGCAATTTGCCAGTTGTGCTCCCATTGCGGCTGGCCCCAAACTACTGGCCGTCGTATTTTTTGTACTTTTTACCCGATTTCTTTATTTACGCCCCGCTGTACGAGTATCTTGTGCTTTCCCTCCCCGGTTTTCATGCGTTTTTCCTCTGTGTCGGCTGACGAGTCGCTGACAGAGTCGCCACAGGAAATCCAAATGGTGAATTGTGGGGAGGGGGCTCTGGTAGCCATATACCATCTCCAGAAACCTCAGTCATCGGTAGGAAAATTAATTAATTCCGCAAGGTGTTGGCCAGTTAGGAGGGATTGATCTCTGATATATTAGTTATCAGATGTCTTTGACATCTAAGTTGATAACAAATTTAAGTATCTGAAAGTTGTAATCAAAATTTATACCTTAGCATTTTCTTGGGAAATGTTTTTAGGAAATCAGTAGCTGAATATTAATTCAAATAGAAATATAAGTCTGATAAACTTCTTTATAAATGATTTTCGAAAATTAAAAATCTAGTTGGTAAAAAATGGAATAGATAAATAAAAACAATCAGGCGAAAATATTTGTTATGAATATATATATATGAATATATATTATGAATGTATATATTCATATCTATTTCAATTTGGAAAAGAATTTTATATTAATATCAAAGTCAAAATATTCGAAATTAACTATAATCATTTCACTTAATATTTCTATATTTTATATTATTAAAATCAGTAATGGATTGAAAAAAATTTGAAATTATATATAAAATAAGAGGGTTTACTACTCTTTTCTATAAGTATATACATATAATAAAATATACAAATTAATTTATAGAGATTTACATATAACTAGTGGGAAATCTATTTAAAAATATTATAATGTATATAATATTTTTGATTCCGGCATTTATATGGTTTAATATTTAAAGTAATTTTCAAACTTGGTTAAATATTCAATATATTGATTTAACTAAGATTTCATAATATTATATATTATTGTTCCCCAGAACGCAACGATCTGTCATATCCGCCGGTTGTGGGTTCCCTGAGTCCGGTGGGTCATGCGGCGGATTTCCTGGCGCCCGGCGATCGCCTTCACCAGATCGACGGGATCTCGACGATTGGCTTGAGCAACCAGAAGGTGATGAATATGCTCTGCGCTGGTGGATCGGATGCGGGTCCTGCCATCGTGGAGATCGAGTACTCGCTGCCCGAATACAGTAAGTGAGCCTATACGATTTCGCCTACTTATAGGAATTTCAGGTCACCTCTATTAAACTCATCACTTTTCGTATTCCCGCGGCGCAGCAGTTTCCCAGAACAGCCTTTGTGTGACCTCGAAGCTGGCGCAGATCACCGTGGAGCGGGAAAGTGGATGCCTGGGTCTGACGTTGAGGGGCGGGGCCGACTATCCGCTGATCGTCACCCATGTGAGGCCCCATGGACCTGTCTATAAGACCGGTCGCATAAAGCCCGGCGATCGGCTGTTGCGCGTCGATAATGTGAGTGAATTTTGATCTAGAGTGACACTTCCGTTTCCGTTTTAGCTTTTTTTGGCTTGGAACGAATTTTCCTCCAGTTTCCCTAGAATTTTGCAATACCCAAAGATATTTGATTTTTTCTTAAAATGTATTTTAAGTCCCTAGAGGAGTCTTTGTATTTTGGAGAACAAATTTAACAAGCAACTGTTTAGTAACTTTCGAAACAGTTTTTCGAACTTAGAAATGGTTTTCTTCTTGAGATATTGTAAATCCTTAGTCTTTTTATTTTGGACTAACTGTTTGAAAAAGTGTTTTAAACATTAAATTTAAAGGATTATTTTCAGTACTATCCTAATTATCTCATTCTAAAATCGTCTACATTACCAAGGCTTTATGAGACTTTTTTTCTTCTTTAAAAATAATTTTGTAATATTGCAATGAACAAAGAACTGGGATACTTTCAATAAAACTCGACATAAAATATTTATATTCTTAATGTATAATTTCAAAGGTTTCACTTATTGGCAAAACTTTGGCGGAGGCGCAGCAGATCATCAAGTGCGGCGGTCATGTTTCCGGCTATACCAACCTGACCATCGAATATGATGTTTCGGTGGTGCAGAGCGTTGAGTTCTCGATGGGACCGCTGCTCATCGAGATCGAGCGGCCGATGAACGATAAGTTGGGCCTGGTACTTTGCAACTATACGGCGGCGGTGCCCGCTTCCGGTTCCGGTTCCAGTACACCTTCCAGTGGGGAGAAGATCGAGGAATCGACGGGCGTCTTTATAGCCAGTATCCTGCCCGCTAGCATTGCAGATCGGTAGGCTATTTTTTTTGGGGGCTCTTCAAAATCCATTCTCATGTCCCCGTTTTTTCCGTTTGTGTTCCAGTTGCGGCGCCTTATCCGTCGGCGATCAGGTGCTCTCCATCGACGACACCATGATCGAGCACACCGCCTTCAGTCCCGACGAGGTGATGACCATATTGGACACCAGCACGGGTCGCGGCTACACGCAGATGCAGATCATGCCCGCTCACGCGTTGGCCCGTCGCGGTGAGTTTTGCTTTTGGATTGGTTCGGTTTGGTTTGGGAGACCCCCTCCCAGATCTCAGCCCCCCTGCTATATTTATTCGGCTATCTGGCAGTCGAAATCTGCAAGGCCAAATCAGCCAGGCTCCCAAGCGACGCGACGAAGGTCTGGCGTGGGCGTCACGGCTAATGAACAGCAAAAAAAAAAGAGCAGCGGCGGCTGAAACAATAGAGACGCCAGGCCTTATAAAGTATGGAGCGAGGAGTGATCCAGGGGTTCCAGCTGAAGTTCTATAATATATCACAGGAAACTCAGAAAGGAATAGGGTTTAAATAACATTTTTGGAAAGGGTTTGTAAGCTAAGTTGTTTCAGGTAACGATTCGAATTTTGATATTTGGTTAGCATAGAGTGATAAGAGATCTAGGGGTTACAACTAAAATTCTATAAAATATATCACAGGAAACTCAGAAAGCAACATGGTTGAAGTAACATTTTTAGCTAAGGATACGTAAGTTATATGGTTTCAGTTAACAAATATAATTTTGTTATTCTGCTAACAATTTTGTTAGCATAGAGGGAGGAAAGATTTGGGGGTTCCATATGAAGTTCTATAATATATCATTTTTTTTGCAAAGGATTTGTAAATTTTATAGTGTCAGTTAATGAATAGAATTTTGTTTATTTTGGTAGCATAAAAATAATGAGCCTTAAGCTAAACATTTAAAAAGTAACATCATTATTGGAAACTTATAAAAGTAAATAGTTTATGTTCAAAAATTGCACTCATTAAAAAAAAGAAATATGTTCTTAACATACAACTTTAAAGTTATATTGGAAATTGCCTAAAATAAATTACATTTTAACTTGATAACTGGTTCCCATTTTTCAAGCAACACATTTCGTTTGGAAGAACTCCCCCAACAACTGATCGGTCCACCCTCGCTGCAGCCAATCAATTGTTTTTCCAAGTTTTTCCCTCCATTTGCTAAGCAAACACGCAGAGACGCAGTCCAAAAAAAAAATCGAGTTCTCCCCAAGAGGAGAGACGCAGCAGTCTTTTTGACAATCGATCGAAACCAAATCGGAAATACCAAATGGAATAGAAAATAATAGAGGAGAGTGGAGGTCATAAATAGTGGTCTGGGCAGAGGACACGCAGCTGGCTAAGCTGCGGATCAGTCTCCCCAGAAGAGTCTTCGGCAAAAGGTCTTAAAAGCTTCCATAAGTTGGCATTGGGGGGAGGTGTGATTGAATGTACTAGATATCAAAAGGGCAGGGGAAAACTACTTAAACAACTTGGAGGAGAAAAAATAAGTGGAGGAGGAGGCACCACGTCCATTCCTGTTCTAATGGGGAATCTATAGAAGTTTAGCTGAATTTTTGGTGCATGCAATAACACCCAGGTTTAATTTTATTAGTGAAATAACACTAGGCATGTACTCGTTTTTTACAGAGAGTTTGGATCAGAAAACCCAAGAAACTAGTAAAACCATCCCCTTATACCTCCTATGTTTTGTAAATCTTTATCTTATCTTAATTATTTTTACCATCCCCAGGACACACCGCACTGGGCAGTCCCAAGTACAGCTTTAGCACCCTGGAGTCCCGCAAATCCTCGACGGCGGGACGGCAGCGCCAGCGTTTTACCCGGAAGAGTTCCCTGCCGCTGGAGAATCCAGCCAGTACTCCGGGAACCACTGGAGGATCGGGTGGTGGCCCCGGCATCCATGGCAGTAGCAGTTTGGGCATGGGACTGGGCCTTTGCCGGGCGGAGAGCTTTCCCGTCCTCCTCGATTGCAGTCAAGGAGCGGGCATTATTCTTGCCGAATCTGGAGGTGGAACTGGAGGAACTGGTGGATCTGGCGGAGGAGGAGGAGCTGTGGCCATTGCCCAGATACTGGCGGATTCGGTGGCCGATCGCAGTGGCTGCATTCAGGCAGGAGATCGCATAGTGGCCATCAACAAGATGTACAGTTTAGACGCGGCGGCCATGAGGCAACTGCTCGAAGGAGGATCCAGTCGCAGTGGCGGGAATGTGGGAACGCCGGCCAATTGGCTGGAGCTGGAGATTGAGTTTGATATGCCGGATGCCGTGGTGCCCTCCAGTGGAGTCTTCAGTGTCAAGCTGCTAAGGGCGGGCAAATGTGGACTGGGACTGAGTGTGAGTGGTTCCAGTCATGGAGGCCTGGTCATTTCGGACGTCAAAATGGGCAGCCCAGCGCATCGCAGTGGTTCCTTGCGATCGGGCGATATCCTCCTGGCCGTTGACCAGCATCCAGTGCAGCATTTCAATGTGGACGCACTGCTCAAGGAGGAGGGCAGATCGCCGAATCCCAACCACAGCTCCTCGGACTTCACCACGCTGACGATCAAGCGGATCGTCCTGCCCGACTTCCTGCCCATGTCCAGTCCCATCTACAGCAATTGTCCACCCAGTGGCATCAACTTGGGCATGGGCATGGGTGTGTCGTCCAGCAGCACGGATCACGATCTTTATAGCAGCGCCTATGTGACGGCGGGCAAGTATGCGGATTGCGTGTCCCTGAAGTCGAGGACTCCGCAACCGGATTACTTTCGTGTGCCCAGCATGGACGACGCCAGTCTGCAGTCGGTGCAACTGAGATCCGGATCGGGTTCGAATGGAGGCGGTCAGGGTAACGGCTGGTCCACCGCCGTCAACAGCCGATCCTTTGTGGCCCCGCCCAACACGCAGAGCCTGACCACCGAGCTGCCCGAGGAGGAGGACGAGCAGGAGCAGATGTATCCTGGATACGAACTCAATCGATATGCCAGGTGAGTCACCAATATTATGATTATTTATTATGCTACATTCCCTAAAAAGCTAAACACTTAATGGTTTGTTTTAAAGTGCCTTAGGCCTTATGACACTAGCTTGATTTTTGACTTAAAAAGTAGAAACATAGAAACTAAAACATGATTTAAAATCATAAAATGTTTTAAGCTGTAGAACATGTTTTCCCTAGGTTGCCATGACTTTTTAAAATAAATCCAGTCAGTCAAAAATGAAGCAAGTATCTTAAGACCTTTGTAAAATTATGATACAATCCCTTAAGCAACTACATGCTTTAAAAGGATAACCATCACTTTCTGAACTCTTTTATATATACTTTAACAAAACCAAGCTACAAATTTGAATATTACTTAAGCAAACACCTTTCCTTAATATACCACATTTCTTCGATTTGGTTTAAATTGTAACTTAGTATCTATGGTTTTAGGAACCCAAAAGCTAAATAACAAAGTTTACCAATTAACTTTCTTATTTTAATGCTCTTTAAAATACAAATTTACCATATATTTTTATTACTTTTATTTTTTCTAAATGAAATCTAAAATGTTCCTATTCATTTTCCCCAGTGTTGACTGCACCGCCTTGCCGCCCCCCATGGAGAACAAGGTTTATGGATCGGCAGCCAGTTCGAGCAGCAAGAGCAGCGGGAGCAGCCTGCACCAGATCATCTTCACGGTGCGCTTGGAACCCAAGGGAGGACTGCTGGGGATCACTCTGGCTGGCAGCGAGGATATCACCAAGCCCATAACGATCAGCGGTCTCGTAGAGGGTAAGTCTTCAAGAGTTTATGATTACATAAAAGTTCAAAACTAATAATTGATCTTTAAAACAGGTGGCATTGCCCACAAGAATGGCCAGATCCATGTGGGGGACCAGCTGCTGGCCATCGATGAGCACTCGGTGCAGGGAATGCCCCTGTCGCATGCCACCAGTCTGCTGCAGAACCTCGGTGACCTTGTGGACCTGAAGATCCTGCGAAGTCATGACCTGGCTAATGGCACCCACCTGCCGCAGACGCAGGCCATCTATGCCAAGGTCCAGAGGCGTCCTCGAAGTCCCTCGGCGAATACAGAGGCGAGCAAGGAGTCGGGCAATGGAAATGCCAGCGGAAGTGGTGGCGCCAACGGAAATGGCAACGGAAAGCCCCGGGTCTTCCATGTCACACTCTACAAGGACAAGGTGTACGACGACTATGGTTTCTCGGTTTCCGACGGGCTCTACGAGCGAGGCGTCTTTATCAACAGGATTCGCAGCGGTGGTCCCGCCGACATGTGCGGTCTGCTTAAACCCTTCGATCGCATTATGCAGGTGGGTTCTAAATTGTCCTTTAACTATGATTGTGATTAATAAAATTTAAATATTTATCTTTAGGTTAATGAAATGAAAACGCAGGACTTTGATTGCTGCCTTACTGTTCCGTTGATCGCCGCCGCTGGCGATAAAATCGAGATGATCATGCAGCGCACCGAGTGATCCCTAATGTGCGAGATCCTTATGTTTAACTAGTTGTACGCTAAGCTAATCCTAAGTGCCATTGCTAGCCCATAATCTCATATAATACTATATCCCTCTATTCTGTATTCTTTACCGAACGAAACAAACAAAACACAAAACAAAAATGTGCAAAATTACCAACCTTCAAGGACAATAAGCGCTAATCAGTCTGCCATAACCAAATAATGTCCTCTTTAAAATAGATCTGCCATAATTTTACTTTAATTCTACGCTAAATTTGTTTTCTAGCAAATAAATAATCATACCGAAAGTTTGTTTCAAACTAAACAATCAACGACTATGAGTAATTTTATTGCCTTCAAAGATTAAGTAATTACAGGTCTGGTATTTCGTTTTATGACCTAGATTCTTGAGAAAATAAATGCCAAATAATAAGATTAGAATATGGCTATGGAATACTACCTCAACAGCGTTTTTATAATACACAAATATACCTTGATAATATTTACTTCAAAATTTTGTAAAGTCCCGAAGATGGAAAATTTATTATACAACATCTAAATTGGTATTTTAATGCGACTAGAACCTTGTTATTACATTTTTTTGTTTTTCTTCAATTGTTTCGTAATACCCTTGGTTCTTATGTTTTAGACCCTTAACGTTTTGACCGTACTTTACACTTTGTACCATCTGAAACTGACCTGGCACTGGTCTATGTAAACAATAATCCCCTTGGGGGCTCGTGTCACTAAGAGCGATTGCAGCGATTGTTATTCAATATTTCGTATTCTGGATTGGCTATTTTCATTCTATATGTAACTCTTGTAATTCCAGATGTAAACAAAATATTTTTACACTTGCTAGCAACAAGTGGGCGTGGCAGCGACCCTACGATGACGTTGGACCCCGTCAAAACGAAAATAGCAAAACCCACATATATGTACGTAAGTATATAATGAAACCTGTGTTGATTTGCAATGCAAGTGGATTTTTGAACCGGAATCGATTTTCGGAATCAAAGTTCGATGCTTATCGGTAACCGGGGGCATTAGCTGCTGGTTTACACGGAAGTGTTACCCACTGAGTCACAATCATCTAAATATAGATTGTATAAGTAAATAGGATTTTTAAGAGTTATCCTAGAGATCTTATATCTTTTGACAAGGCTATTCAGTTGTTTTATATTATATTATGAAAGGGATGCCTGCAGCGCGTAAAGAAAGTCGTAAACAAAAACAAGAAAAAAGCAGAATACAGACTACAGACTTTAAGACGTGATAACGCTTTGAAAGGCCGCCTCTTGACGTCAATGGGCAATATTCGAGATCCTGGTGGAATGTCGAGCGATCGAAAACCCGTAAACACCTTCTTCGGACTTTGGCCGCTTCGAAAGCGAAACGGGATTCTGCGAGAATCGCTTCCAGCTGATAACGCGTGCCAATGGGCAATAAATATGAAACATAGTACCACCAACCAGACATTGACACCACCTGTCAGGGGCGGCGTGCTGGGGGGCGGGGGTGTGGAAGAGGCCCGTCGATTGACACAGTTTCTGAACGAATTCACTTGGCCCCTATACACAGGAAAATAATGACCCATATAAGTCGGGGAGAAGGTATTTCTTCAGTACAAAAAGGCGGGGTATTGCAAATATAAACAAATAGTCAAGGTGATTCAGAATATACAAAAAAAAGTAATATCATTTTTGAATTAAAAGGCAGAAACATTTTGACAAACAAAGATCAATAGCTAATAAAAATATAATAATATTTTATGGACCTCTTAAAAAGGTTATAATGAACATATATTTCTGAAAAGTAATTATTGTTTGGTTAAAGAATAATTTCTTCAACCTTTCTTATGGGAAAACCCAAGAAATTTAAAGGAACGTGATATGTATTGTAGTTTAATTGTATTAAATATGTTTGGTATTATATATACTACAAGTAATAATCCCTAAACCTATAAGTTCCTTGAGTTATGTCTTTGTATTTCTCACTGTGCCGAATGGTTTGTGGGGAACAGCTGCTGATACCCCAAGGGGGCTGTCTCATCCTCTATTTCTGACCCTACATGGATCCTCCTTTCTGACGCCCGCTTTCGAGAAGATTGCTCAACGCCTCCATGGCGGTCACTTTGTTGTGGTCGCTCTTATCAAGAAGGTGCATCCAACAAAGAGCAACCCCGCCAGCTGGTGTACTTTGCATCTACACTGAGCGAAACGTTCGGCTTTTGCATTATCAGCAGCTCAGGGCCTTCTCTCCTCTCTTTACCGAACTCTCTGCTCTACTGGAAGTCGCGTGCCGAAGCTCTGAGATCAGTGATGGCTATATAGCGAAAATCGCACTTGGTTTTATATAAATATATACAAATTATTATGGAACTTTAAGGCACTTCGATATATGAAGATGAGTAATATGTGTACCTTATTATGTGTAGCTTATTAAAAATGGGTTTACAAAGTATGCTTCATATTCTTTCTTTTTCATTATTTCAAGTAACTACTACTAAATTACACAAAATTAAGGAATATGTATTATTCTGCCTTAGGAAAAATGTTCCTAAAAATATTCATGGCCTGAACACTAGTTTTAGGGCAGGGTAATGGACTTAGGTTATAACTGCTAATGCTTGATGGTTAATAATTTCTGGGTGATCCATGGCCCTTTTTGGTGTAATCGACTTTTTCCTACAGTTGGTTATACTTGACCTTTGGAAGGCAGTCGTAAAAACAATATATTGTAACATATGTGTCGGGAAATCGGCGGACTGGACAGCACTATCGGCTCAACGTCATCGGCCGGCGGCTTCGGATGCAGCTTTCCGCCTCGTTTTTGGTTTCGATTTCGATTTCTCGCGTCGTCTTCGTCTTGGGCAGTAGGCATAAAAATTGCGTGGGGCGCAGCTGATCGGCTCAGTGCTGCGACGGTCCCCAAGCAACTCAGATCGGCGGAGATATAGCGGCACACGTATATAGCCAAGTAACCAGAGAGATAGTCAAAGTCGAAACTCGAGGGCCGCAAAAAGAACTAACGGCACACTCGAGACAGAAAGACAGTCGATAAGATTAACGTCAACTTAATTAAAACTAACGAAAAGCCAGGCACCAAACAAAAGATTGATCAATCGATCGCAATTCGATCGTAACTCGAATATATAGTCTTAGCCTTAGATAATATAAAGAACAGGCCAACTCAAGTGGCGCTCGTTCAAGTGATTTGTGATTGTGGTTCAGTTAATAGCTGAGAAGTGTGATCTAATTTTTGGGAACTTACAAGATCCTGAGGAACCCAAAAGGATCGGATCCCTAAAAAGATGTACGTGGCCAACACCACCGGCGGCTTGATGCTGCAGACCATGTTGTACCTGGCCAATCAGACCAGTCGGGCGGCCGTCAACACCCTGGTCGATCTGCCACCAGCCCCCAAAAGTGGTAAGTAATCCGATCCACGGGCTCCACACTTGGGCACCGATTGTGGTTGCACCACCCAGCGTAACTAGAACGTGTCCGCCCAAAAGTGGCCCAAAAGTATCTGTGATCTGGACCACAGTGGCGGAGGGGATTTTTAATATTTTAATGTAATCCTGAATTACGAAGGTAGAAATCACTGTAGGATTTGTCCTAAATAAGATTTATATATATGAATTAAAGAACTAATATAAATTGATCCATATAAATTTATTTATTATTGTCATTTATTTTTTTAAATTTATATTTGAGACTGATAAACTAGTTATTTTAGTTGAAGTTCTAAAAATAACTACGTAAGATATCATTTTATTTAATTTAATCTTCATGTGATAAAGAAAAATATATCAATTTTATAGACTCTTTATAGACCCTTCCATTATTGCCTTAATATAAACACACTACATTCAAAAATAAAAGAGTTTTATAGACTCTTTAAATATTGCTAAATACTTATTGTATTCCCCATAGACATGGATTTAGGCTGGTAGGTTACGAAATATCCGCGGCTCAAAGAACTCAGTCATTATAGCTATTATTTTGGACACAGCTGTGCTTTTTGGGCCCAGTTAGGTGCCACCAATTTGAGATTTCCTTCGCTTTAAGTGGTTTCGTGTTGGCTGTGTGTCGATCAAACAGTTTTTGGGTCTTAAGTGGGTCTAAACGGCACAAGATGCTGAGTGGGGAAAGCTCTTTCAAGAAACCCGCGGCGTTCTCGATCACCTGCGATCAGGTGTTTCGCGATGGCAACACAGGTGGCAACTCAGCATGCGTCGATTTGGTTTGGAAATCAGGGTCCCAGAGGCTAATGACGTGACTCGTCCGGTGCGGTTTGATATACATATCATATATGGTATGTAGAGTCGGGGGACGCGGAAAACGCCTATCTAATCGAAAACGTCCGATATAAACGGAAAGCCAAAGAAGACCACGATAAAAGAGACGATCATCTATGCACCAGTGGCCAAATAAATGGGGAGTCTTCAGGCCAATATCGATTTCCCGCCAACGATCATCACGGCTCGTTGAAATACTTAATGGATCACAGCTGTCTGTGTTCGAGGAAGATTAAAATTAGGCTCCAATAGAGTCGTCTTGCAATTTCGTCTTAAGATTTTCATGGATCGTTAGGCTTTCAACCAGACCAAAACAGTTCTAGTTGAGATCTTGCAAAATTGTCAAGGAATATCAGTTACAGGTTTCGTAGTTAATGTTATGATAGTTCAAATTACGACTTCAGTCTAATCGATTTTGCCTGGCTATAAAATCACACAACACTAGCTTATCTGGGTTCAGGTGTTCGCCACGCTGATTTATAGACCAAGTGCCCAACTAATCACCCACTGATTGCTCTAATCCCCCCCAGACATCAACGAGGTGAAGTGCTTTGGGGTCTACGGCTGCTTCCCAATCAATGGCCCATGGAATACGGTGACGCGTTCGATCAATGTTCATCCCCAGAAACCCTCGGAGATCGAGCCTCATTTCACGTTGCACTTGCGAAAGGAACTGGATCAACCCAAGTATCTGGACCTTAACGATCCGGACGCCATTCAGAGCATGGGAATGGATCCGAAGGGCAAGATCTTCCTGATAGTCCACGGATATCTGGAGTCCGGTGAGATTCCCTGGATGTGGGACATGGCCAAGGCCCTGCTGGCCCACGAACCGGAGGGTCATGCAGCAGTGGTCCTGATTGATTGGGGCGGTGGAGCCAGTCCGCCGTATGTCCAGGCGGTGGCCAATATCCGGCTGGTGGGCGCCATCACCGCCCATGTGGTGCACATGCTGTACGAGGAACTGCGTCTTCCGAATCTGGATAATGTGCACATTATTGGACACTCACTGGGTGCCCATCTGTCTGGTTATGCCGGTTATCACCTGCAGCACGACTTTGGCCTGAAACCGGCCAGGATTACGGGTCTGGATCCGGCTGCTCCCCTTTTCACGGACACCGATCCCATCGTTCGGCTGGATAAGACCGATGCTCACTTCGTGGACGTTGTGCACACGGATGCCAATCCCCTGATGAAGGGCGGATTGGGCATCAATATGCGGCTGGGCCACGTCGACTTCTTTCCCAACGGCGGTTTCGATAATCCCGGCTGCAACAAGAAGTTCCAGGATGTGGTGAAGAAGAAGACGCTCTTCCTGACCATGCAGGAGTTCCTCGGCTGCAATCACATCCGCAGCCAGCAGTATTTCACGGAGAGCATCGGTTCGCAGTGCCCTTTCCTTGGAATAACTTGTGATTCCTTTGAGGTGAGTAGCTAAAAACGCTGAAACTTTGAACAAAGAAATATCGCATTAATTGAATGCTGGAGAATTCTAAGCTAAAGAACTCGCTTTGTGGTATCTTCTGGCCAACTTCCAGTTTTTAATCTAAAGAATTCACGTTATGATATGTTCCTGTTTGATCAATATTTATTTGGTCTATTTCTAATATCTATTTTCCTCTTTTTTAGAGCTTTAAGGACACCAAGTGCACCAGCTGCGAGGAGCCAGGCCACACGTGCCTGCGAATGGGTTACCATAGCCAGGAGGACTACCAGGAACAGGTAGAAATGGGTCAGCTGCAGCAGGGAGATTCACCTGGAGTCTTCTACCTTTGGACCGGTGATAGTAAGCCCTTCTGCCGCCTGCACTACAGGATTACGGTGCAAGTTTCCGGACATGATGAGAGTACTCTTCACGGCGGTGAGGTGGGCATCCTGTCCATTCAACTCCACGACGCCCTGCAAAAGAAGGGGGCCAAGAAAGAGCGAGCCGCCACGGAGATGATGAAGTTCTCCACGAAAGCTATGTACTTCGAGCCGGGCTATGAGTACAAAGCCCTTGTGGCCGGACGGAATCTCCAGGAGCCGGAATATGCCACCGTCAACTGGGAATATCCCACCAATATACTGAATCCCCTCACTTGGCGCATCCTATCCGCGCCAAGAATCTATTTGGAGTACATCCTCATCGAGGCAATGGAGTCCAGTGAGCTCTACCTGAAATTGTGTCCCCAGCACGAGGGATCCATTCTCGCGGGCGCCGAAAACGTCCTCCGCTCCAGTTATTGCAAGGATTAACTATCCTAATCTATTTAATCGACAACCGATCAACTTTAGTAGTTTATAATCTAATTGATTATGATTTTGGTCTTAAAAGGCCAATAATTTACTAGCTAGTTTACCTACGAGGGTATACCCCTTTGGATAAACTACCTAGTTAATTATGGTTTCACATTAATCATTTCATTTAATTAATTAATTATCTACTGAATTTTGTATTGCACGCAAGCTATATTATTTTTTAATTAGCTTTGATAATTACTTAGCTAATTAATTAATAATTTAGCTATTACTGCTTTATGTAAAATATAAAAGCAAGCAGTGCAGGTTCGCGCCAACGCTTAGTTGTGCTCACAACCAGAACGCAGCAAGTGGTGCAAGATCGAAAAGTGTTCCCACTTTGATTTGTATAGCAACTGGCAAAGGAGGAACAGTTTGTATTTTATTATAGTATTTAAATAGTTCGCAAAACGAAACAATCATCAAACCGTTATTTATTTTATAAACTAATTTTTTTCATTTTTTTTTGAGTGTATTAAATGTATTTTTAGTTGTAGTACATTGATGTAGCCTAATTTAATGTAAATAAAAATAAAAATTATTTAAAGAAAATCATAGTGTTTTTGATATAACAAAAAAGAACCTTTGGTTTTTTACAAACTTTGATTTATCTTTTAAGAAAACTTTTCTGCCAAACTTAATTTTTAAAAACCAATATATCTGGGATACATATTTGCTAATTAAATGAGAAGCACGAAAGTCCGATCTTTTAGGGAACTTGAAGTTAGATAATTGTGATAAAAAGGTTGAAGACAACACAACAAATCCCCAGATTTGGATCTGCCTGACTATAACTCAAATCAGCTGTGGATTCTAATGAATTATAAACACAAACACGAAACCCCAAAGTCGGGGGACATTCCATGACATGGATGGGGATATGGATCCCCAGTCGGTTGTTGATGTTAATATTTTAAATGCTTATCGGGGCAAATGTATCTATCGCATGCATGTGTATCTTTTACATATAATTGATATTATCTGCATTGATTCGACTCGTTTTCAACCTCGTTCGCTGCCGTCTCGATTTCGATTTTGGTTTCGGTTTTTGTTTTTGTTTCAGTTTCTGATTCTGTCTCTGTTTCAGTTTAAGTTTCGGTTTCTGTTTCTGCGGCTGGGTCTTTGTTTTATGATCGAACATTTGGACATTCCAATGTTCTCCGGGCAGCCCCAAAGCCTCAGAGACTACACAGAAATAAATGTGATACGTATGTGACATATGAAATAATTTAAGGTCAATATATCGGAAGCGCAAAAGATATTAGTATTAAATAGGGAAAATTAAATACAAATATTGGTTTCCTAAGTTATGGTACTCAATTCCAATTTATTTTATTTAAAAGTAGTCATATTAGCTCATTTTAAATAGTAATTAGGTGCGCAATACATACTCAGAAAATATTAATAAATAATACTTAAAGCACTTAAGATGTTTAGTTTGTTTTTAATCAATTCTCCAAGAGTTCAAAGGTTACATGAATAGTTACTAAATATAGTTCCAAAGCAAAGTAAAGTCTAAAATGATGTTTTTTTCAATGTATCTCGGTTTGGGACTCAACCTCAAAATGAACCTGGCCCATAAATATGTTGACAGAGACGGGGCGAGAAGGTGAGAGGGAGACAGTTGATGATCATGTTGACAATGTTTCGCTGGAGTTCATTTCATTCGTTTCTGGGAATCGAAATTGTTTGAAAACCTTTTCATGTTTTGACTTTCGTTGCTCCACCTGTATCCCCCTGCTCCTCCTCCTCCTGCCCCTCAATGTGTGCCCACTTATTCCCATGATATGCATTCATTAATAATGTTAATCGATTTGGGATAACCCTGCGATCTCGGCCACCGAATGTCCCGAATGTCATGGGAATTACGGGCCAGCAAATGGCCAAGTGCCTCCCCTTTTTTTGTTTTCCGTCTTAAAGTGCAGCTGCAATCCGTTAGCCATCCGCCTCTTAATTAGTTCACCTTGGCCCCCAGGTTCCTTCTAAATTTTCCCTACTCCTTTTCACTATACTTTCCCCCCGAACTTGTGGCATAAATCAGAAGAGTGCGCCGGCTGAGGGACATCAAATGGGCCTCGAGCTCAAATCAAAATGTCATAATTTCAGCGGGGCAACATCAGCGACAATACGTCAACATCCCCCTGCTCGGATTTTCCAGATATTTCACCCTTTCCCCATAGACTATATAGATCCACCCACCCACTCTGTCATTTCGCCGTTTAATTAGTTGGCCGCGCCGGCGTCGCAAACAAATCACATAATTATGATTGAGCGCAGGCAGCGCCAACTCTTTATTTTTTTTTTTTACGTTTCTGATTTTACTTTTTTTTTAGAGAGATGGGGGAGAAAAAGGGGGAAAATCCCCCTGAGTTTTTCCCCCGCTGTGGCGCATTTTGGGGTTTCCTTTATGGGCCGTCAGAGACGCGTGCATAAATATAAATCAGGGCCGGCTCACAGCTGCCGTAATTGAATGCAAATGTCCATCCAAAAATACGATGATGCTCTAAAGTGTTCCCCCCGACGCCTCGCTGGGATATACTTTCTATATGGTATTTGGGAGGCGACAATCTGCTCTAAATTATCACATGTAGGTGCCCCGACTTTCCCCCGCTCTTTTCCTGCGCTCCATTGTCTTTGCTGGCGATGCGTGGAAAACTAATTTCCCACTCCCATCCCGCTGGCATTTTCCTGTGCCATTCATCTTGTGCATTTTTCTGATATTCATAATTCGTGGCGTGTGCGCCGAGTTTTCCAGTTTCCACTTCTCCCTCCGCACTCTTGAACAATCCATTTACGAGCTCCGCAGGATTTTGTCAGCTTGGTAAATTGCACCACGTGTTTTTGATAATGACGACATAATTACGCCAAAAGTTGAATGGTGAAAAGATGAGAGGTAATATATAAATAGGCAGAGCATCTGACAATGAAGTGATTAAAAAATTTAAACACTAATATTTAATACAGCGGAGTTAGTGAGCTGATATTTCCACAAACTTACTCATTCCATTTCTTAAAAATAAATCTGTTAATAGATATTTCGAATTAAAAATATTTTCAAAAAAAGTACAATTAAATAGGTGGCTTACGTGTATTAAAATTAAATACAGCATTTATTTTTTTTAAAAAATGATTTAAAATATTTGATAACAATAAAACAAGATACTAATTTACTCAGTCAAAACTGTTTTGTAAGACTTTGAAAATTATATCAATAAGTCTTAATATTTATTTTCGATGTAATTTAGTTGCTTTAAAATTATAATAATTTTATTTAATTCAATAAACAAAAATACATTAAAATTACTTTAGATAATTTTAGAAACTGCCACAAAAGCAGCCGTTAAATTTACATTTTGCGGCTTTTTTCCCTTTGCTTACCCCTAATAGTTTGTCAACCCTCGCCGAAGGATCTAAACAAATGAAATGTCAAAATGCAAACAACAAACAAAAACAAAAGGCGAAAAGGATAATGGATAATGGGGGAGGCAAAGGAGCGATGGCAGAAAACCGCCCGCGGTCACTTAGAGCACTAATTTAAATATCATTAGTGAACAATTAAAACAAAGAAATGCCATTCGAAAAGCCATGCGACAAAGCCAGAAAACAGAGCCCAGAAAACGGAACCCAGAAAACAGAAAACAGAAGCCCCCAGCAAAGGACGAAAAACCAGGACAATGTGACGCCATCGTCATCCTGTCACCGCCCACGAATCGCCTGGGGGCGTGGCTGGATTCGGCGGAAGGATTCGAAGTCAGGAGCTACGAAAACTGAAGGGCGGGAGGGCGCATAAATGTCAACAGGAAAAACAAAAATACCTAAATATAAAACAATGAAAACAAAACAGAAGGAGCCGAATTTTAGATATCCTATCCTATTAAATACAAATAGTAATATAATCTACAAAGGGTTTCAACAAATTTTTAAGTTCAACTTTCTAAACAAATCTGTTTTTAGGTGAAATAGGGTTATACATTTTTATTTTAATTATTATCATCATCATAATTATTATTCTAATTATCATATCATATCATACCATATCATTAAATATAATATCTTATATTATATTTTATTCTGTTCCCAAGACCAATTTATAAAATTAAAATATAATGTTGGGTTCCTAAGTTTTTTATATTATTTTAAGGATATCAGAAACCAAATGTTATAATACAAATAGAGTTTGTTTATCTTAGGAATTGAGGGGCATAACCCATAAACCAGGGTATCTGTGTAGAAGTCCAAATCAAAGGGCGAAAGGCGACAATATTTTTTGTGGCTTTGCCAAAGTTGTGACAGCCCAGCCAAATGAAAAGGCTTCTTTGGATTGGGTTTTGGTATAGGTATTGGTACTGGTATTGGTACTGGGATGATTCTGGTTATGGGAATGGTCCTGTGAATGGGCAGGTGTTGCGTCACGGATCCTGGTACTCAAGACTGGTCCCCCCATTTAATCGCATTTCAAATACCATTTGTCAGCAGGAAAATGGGAATCGTGCCTTATCGATGCGGGGCAACTGGCACATGGTTCTGGTTTCAGGTCCTGCTGTTTAACCACCCACCCATTAAAAAAATAGACGCTGCCACGTGTCCTTCCGCTGGCGGCCAAGTGCGCATCCTGGCAGAGGATACCCATTCGGATACGGATGCGGATGCGGATTCGGGCTGGGATTCGGTCACCTGATGATGCTTTTCCCAGGACCAAGGCGAAAGCCACCCACTCGAGGGTTGGCACAGGGGTTACTGGTGGTGATGGAGGGCCGCGTAACATGATCCCTGCGTGCCTCGGCATAATTTGTTATTTCGGCCAACGCATTATTCTATATCCTTGTGCTGACGCTGATTATTTCCCGTACTCCGTAGTCCGTACTCCCCATTTAGAGACACCTTTTGTCGACTTGGCCGTCGAAGAAAATATCGATTACATTCGCTGAAAGTTTTCGTTCCGCCAAAAATGAAGAAACAAAAAAAAACACAAGCAAAATAAATAAAAGGTGGAGAAGAGACAAAAGAACCGCAGAACAAAGCAGCCAAACCACTCGGTTTTGGGTCCCGGCCCCCGCCAACCCAGAAAATAACCATAAATAAGGGTAATAAAAGTGATGCTCAGTTGTCGCTGCAGCAGCTGCATCTTCCCAGCCTCAGATCCCGATTCCGATTCCCAGTGCGATTCCCATTCCGATCCCGATCCAGATACGTCGCCGATTGCAAATAAATATTCGGCACTGCCAATAATCATAACATTAACTCACTCGCTGAAGGGACTAATGAGATCCAAGAACATCCTTTCGCGAAATTGGGATTTTTCGTTCAGAGGATCTTCCATTCCGAACCCTAAAATCGGAAAAATATATAACCTTCGTTTATAAGCCTTGGTATATTACCACTTTAGAAAAAAACCTTTTCTATTCGAAATATTATACACAATTTAGTAACATTTTCTGAATATTGCTAGCTAAATGGGTAATTTAAAATCGATTGAAAAGATGAAAGGATTCGAAAAGTATTTGTATCTGATATCTTATGTCTTATATGTACATATATGTATCTGATATCTTCTTGATAAATATTTATGTTTTCATTTTAATATAAAATATTTCCAAAATAATTAAATAGTTTCAAGTAAGAGTAGTTCTTGTTATCCCAAATATAATGCCATTTTTGTCATTCCGCCCTTGAAAAATAAACAATGCCTGGAGTGTTGCCTTTGGCTAATCTTGAATTTATTCAAGCATTTCTTTTTTTTTACTTAAGCAATCTAGGATTATGTTGTACTTAAAACAAACTGTGGATAATCGTGGTAAATGTTAGGCATCGCATAATAGACATCGACATATGTGTATATAAGTAGTAAAAACAATGTAAAGTTGGACTTGGAACGATCAATGGAATCTCTCTATCTGGATTTCCTCCTTTTTGCCATATATTTTTTTGTGTTTCATATTGCTTTGATCTAGGATCTGCGAACTGTGAAACAATCGTATACGTTGAGTGCCCCCGTGTAAAAGGAGCCGCCTGGACAAATGCTCTTTTTTTTTGTTTGTTTTTTTGATTTTTTTTTCCATCCGGGACTTGGAAACTGGCGAATCCATTGTTCGCCGGGCAAACAAAGGATGCGTCGTGAGCGTCGAGGGGCGAGTTATTAAAAACAATATTTGAGGCTTAGCCGGAACGCCTGGATGGGCAGATATATATCTCGAATCCAGTAGAGTCGAGTCGAGTCGAATGGGGAGTGGACTTATCTCGCATCTCCGCATTAACACTTTCGCACACGCACACACATCACCATTACCACTACCATTGCGCTCACTCAGACAAACACAGGCACACGGACATGGCACAAAATGGCCGCCAAGGAGCTATATATATATATTCGCACATATATCTTCCATCTCCGGCGGACCCAGCACCCCACTTTTGGATGGGTCGATATTTGGAAGACTGCGAAAAACTCTGGATAATAAAATGCTGGGGGAAAGTCTCCTTCTGTGAACTATGTTCATTGTAGTACTTTAAAAATTTTACCAGAGAACACTTAGTTTTAAGAAATTGTAACACTCTTTCCGCCTAGAATTATGAAATTAATGAAAATATATAACAATATCTAACGTTAATAATATTTAAAAAAATATTAAATAAAGAAAATGAAATACAAGCTTTTTTAAAAATGATAAGTAGTTTAAGTACCATAAAAATCATTTACAAAATATGGTTTTAATAGGAAAAAAGTTACATAAAATGAAGATAATAAAAGTCATAGTCAATCCCTCTTTTAATTTTGTTAAAACATGACTATTCAAATTCGCAATCAAACAATTATAAACTCGCATGTTTTACCTATCGACCCATCTCTATACTGATCCATCGTGACCCTTGACCCACCACCCCTTACAACTTCTCAAAGGCGTTGGCATTTGTGAGAAGTTCTCGGGTTAATCGCCACACCTGCTTAGCAGCCTGCTCCAAAGCACTGGGGGATTTGCCCTTGAACATGTCCAATCCCGGCAGGAAATAGTGGGGACATCGACGGTACTGCAGGCAGGATATCAGCTGCAGGAAGATCCCATTGATCCGGTCGGCAATGCAACTCTCGTCCCACTCGAAGTCCCGCGGATGTTTCTCGCATTCGTAGAGCAGCAGGTTCTTCAGGTGGTACGCACTGATGGGATTGCCTGGTAGCTCCATATGCCTATCCCTAAGTGTCTTCAGCATGCTCAAACAACGCCGGCGACAGCCACCTGAAAGGATTATTAAATCGTGTATAATATAACAACCAATTCCGGATTTTTAGTGCCAAAATTCATTATAAAGTGTGAATTTTGTTAACTTTTACAATTTTCTTAAAATTCCCAAGGAAAGGCACAATAAAAACCCTTTTAAGATAGCTAAATGCCTTGAGGAGCTAAGTTGGCTAATAGTTTTAGTATCAAGCTAAAAACAACCAATCAATCTTCATACAAAAAATACAAAATGGTTTCTAATAATGAATATCTATTTAAAAAACTTGTATAATTTTTTGCTGAGCTTTAGGAAATCTGTATAAAAAGTGTTCTCTCGCTCAACTACGTTTTTTTATATCTATAAAAATCCCTAAGAAACAACTTTATTCAGATCCTGTGTTAAAATAGTATAGCGGAAGCCATGTTTTCGTATTTGGTTTTATGGGAAAGCATGATGATATATTTTTATTTAAATAATTCAAATAGTGTTAATGCTAAATTGTTGTATGTAAAAATGTATCTTTAGTTCGTTGATCTAAAGTGTGTAATATTTTTGTGATTGCAATAGGGTTTCCCCCCGATTCTTACCTTGTAGAAGACGGTTTTCGGCCTCGAAGAAACTGAGGACCCAGGCATCGCCCTCCATGCTGGCGGCATTGTTGTTCTTGTTCTGCATGACGACGCTCTCCTTGGACAAAAGGTCGAATCCCTCCGTCTTGACCTCCGCCACGATATTGGGATGTGGCCACGGGAGGTGGGGCACCGGCCAGTGGGCCGCCGATCTTGGCCAGATGCCGGAGCACTTAAAGGCGGGCGTGATCTGGACCACAAAGCGCTCCCGAATCCTCAACTTCACCTCGCTGGTGTCGCCCACCATCTTGACCATGTCGCGATAGACACTCTTGTCGCAGGCCTGTGCCACCAGCGTTTGGAAACGGGCACGGATCTTCCGGGAGGACAGATACCCACTGGCCGTGATGAACTCCACCCACAGGGACATGGACCTCTTTCGACCATCGCTCAGCTTTAAAACCGCACATCCTGGCAGAGTTCCATCATCCACAAAGTTGAAGACGCCCATTTGATTCAGATACAGGACTATCTCGAATTCATTCGGCGATACGACCTCTACACCCTCGAACCTGTAAAAGGATTATATTATCTTTATCATATCAATTGGGAATTGAGCATTCTGAATTTATTTTAAAACTATATTTAAAAATGTTAGGCACCTATATCTAAGGAGATATTATAATAATATAATATTATTAGATAGCTTTTTGTATATTAAATATTGATATCTATATACCTACATAAGTATCGATATACTGATAAATGACTTATCTATAAAATTATACTATATTTTAAGGGTTAGATAACATTTCAAACATATGGTTTCCTGCATAAACCCATCTAATAAGAGGCTTTATATATTTTATATATCTAATTTAAAATTGTATCATATCTCAGTTAGATTTTCTTGTTGAAGCCAATCTAACAAGAGGCGATTCCACCTCTTTTGAAGAGGAGAACCCCGATGAGCATGACTTGACATTTAATTGACAATGACGCTGCACTTTGATTGTAATGATCCCAATGAAGTGGGTGGGATTGAAGTGGGTTTAGTGGAGCGAACAGGAGAGGCGATGACAGTCATCCGTGCACTGGAATTACGCCGATATCTTGCTGAAGGGTCTGTGGTTTGGATCACTAAACAGATACGATCGATTCTTCCTAACGTCACTTATTACCTAACTTATTTTAACATTATTAAATATTGTCATGAAAGCATAAATATTAAATTTCTTATGGAAATAGGTATTTAAAATATGATTTTATATATTGAAAATGAAAACCTATCTTTATTTTTAGGATAATAATTAAATCACAATAGATTTACCTGCCATTGCACTCGACGAGGCTGGAGATGAATCGCGGCTCCTGCAGCTCCACCTCCTTGAGGATGTCCTGGACGATCTTGCAGATCTCGCGGATGGCGGTGGCCGTCCTGAACATCCTGGCCTGAACCCGCTCCGCGCAGAATCGATTCATCTGGTAGACCATGCGCGTCTGGGCGGCCATCATGTCCGGCGGCACCAGCATGGTCGGCTTGGCTTTTCCGCACCAAGTTCCAAGTAGTAGTAGTATCTGTATCTTTTTCCGGCGACACTTGGTCTGGCGGCCAACTTGAAAGCCAGCGGCTTTGGCTTTGCCAGCCAATTATGCGAAATTCGGGAGCGGGCCTCTTTTTGTGGACGACGGGCAGTAACAGCAGAAACAGCAACAGCAGCAGCAGAACAAAGGAACAATTCAATTGTGAGTTACGGTGACAGCAGGGCAACAATGGGCACAAGTGGAGCACGACGAGCGAGGTGTATGTATATCGGGATTTTGGATTTTTGTACTTCAGTGCCTTGTATCTGGGTAGCTGCAGCCCGCAGATACAGTATCTGCATGGGCGAATCGCGGGCCGAATGATGCGTTGTGCCAAAACGCGATACCATACCCCCAGACTGGCGATGCCGATGCCAATGCCGATTCCGAGTACGAATCGGAGTGGAGTCCGCCAAGCGATACTGATACCGATACTCAAAGTCGCAGCTCGCAGCTCCCATCTCGCATCTCGCCGTTCGCAGCTGGCGTTGTAAATCTCGCGGATATTTACAGCTTCGGCAGATAAAAAGCGCTGAAAGTGCAGTTTTAACCAGCTGCACGAGAGTATCTCAATATATCCCCGAGCCCAGTGCCTCAGTGTATCGCAGTATCTAACAAATCCGCCATCTCGGTGGCATGAATGGGATTCGGGGGCTCGGATACACTCAGATACAGATACATGTCGGGGCTGTCACGTGACAGGGGTCTCTGTCTCGTGCCACGCATTCCGACGCTTAAAAAATCGATGAGATACTCGCCGCAGCACCGCGTATCTGTCGTATCTGAAAGGTACACTCGGAGAAAAGGTACACTCGATATTTTTGGATCTATGGAAGAAATGTATGGTACATGGTAGTACAAGTATTTTAAAAGGTTTTCGGGAATTTTGATTGGTTATAATAAAGAGTTGGTATTCAAATGGTTGATTTTATTATATACAATATATCTTAATTTGTATCTTAACGGTAATTTCATATCCGCTGGCTCTATATCTTTCTAATTAGCTATCTAAATATTTATAATAAATTAATAACCATAAATAAGTTTATACACTAATATAATACGTTGTCCAATCTATTAATTTCATATTGTATATAAATATATGTATTCTGCTATAACGTGTATCCATTATAGTAATAATGTATTATATCTCCTATATTAATTTCAAGGATATTAAACTTAATAAGTGTTTTAAAAACTTAAAATAAATTTGACTAACATATTATCCCTTTTTCTAGCACTAACATCTAACATGTGGCAAAATACAAAATTCTGAATTCAATTCAATTTTTATATCAATATATTATAGTTACTACCACTAAAAACAAAATCCAAGCTGAATTAAAATTGAATTACGAAATTTGTTATTTTTTCTTTATTTTCATTATTTAATTTTCATTATAAACGCTTAAACAAATAGTTATGCCTTTCTCTGTGTGCACATTAAACAAATACTCTCGCTCTCTCAGTCTGCGGCTTGCATACGTATGGGTGTATCTATGGGGTTGACTGGCTGTGTATCTGTGAGAGCGCCGCGATATCATTGGTCTGTCGTGGCCCCGCCCCTTTTGGTGGCCGTTACGCTGCGGCGCCCCCTTTGAAGTCCATTGCCTTGTCAGTGTGTGTATCTGTGTGCAAATTTAATTTGTTAAATACATTTCGGCCTGCCATCGCGTACAAGTTGTGTGCAATAATTTATCTGAAATGTGCACTCATTTAGCAAAGAGCAACGAGCAACCCTCGTCCATGTTCGTCGGCCGATATCTTTATATCTCGCATCTCGGCTACAGATACACTTACACAGATACATTTACACTCATAAATATGTCGCGTGGATTAATGTGCCAGTTGGCAATTTCTGACAGCCCTCGCAGTTCCAAGCGAGCAACTTCCTCCGTGTTCGGGCTCCCCTATATAGTAGGTATGTAAGTCTTATATACCATATATACATATATATATTTAGTATGTAGACGTAGTATACTTGATGGACATGTGGCAACATCAAAGCGCCCGTCGCCTCCTCCAATTAGACAAATCCCAGACGCAGCCACTAATTCGAGTGGAGGCAAAACACAAAGCGAACAACATTTTTGCGAAAGGAAATGGAAATGGGGGTCAAGCATCCCATGGTGACGAAAGTGTCTAAAGACATAGAAATACTTGTTCTAGGAATTGCAAAACCACCACCAAAAACTAAAAAAAAATCTATTAAGCTAAATAACATATAATATTATAGAGTTTTTAAGATCTAATATAAATAATCGCAAACCAAATTTAATTAAAATCGCAGTATGCTAAAAGCATTCTTCTTTTAATAGATTGAAAGGAATATATGGTATTTAATCAAAGCAGATACCATTTTTCACTTCCCATACTTGTATGGCCTTTATATTATACCCAATGCCCACTGTATCTTTTGGGGCCTGTTAAGTCTTTTGTTCGGCTTTATTGACATCAATCAGTGGCAGTTTGAGCAGATCTAGCCGTATCTAAATAGTATTCAGCCCATTCCAATTTGTTGGGGATGTGAATCGAAGCTGTCAGCTGAATTTTAATGGAGCCCCAATGAATGGGATGCGATTGGATTGGATTGGATGGGTCGCATGGAATGGAATGGAATGGATTGGAGTGGGATACGATGGTATATGGTATGGTTTCGCTGGATGGACGATGCCAGGTGCTCCATGGGCCATGGCACTTGGCTGATTTTTGGCGCGCTGGATTTCCACGTAACCAGATAGTGGAGGTGGCAGCCGTACTCCTATCTAGATGGGCGCATATCTGCATAAATTTTTTTAACAAAATAAGGAAAAACAAGGAAGAACGCTATAGTCGAGTACCTCGACTATCAGATAGCCGTTACTCAAAGGGAAATGGAGATATGCAAGCAGCAAAGCGAAATTAAAATGCGCCACCTACCGGCGGTAGACAGATTTAAGCGTTATGGGCGTTAGCGTGGGCGTGGCAAAATTATTTTTGGATCAATCGATAGGTATTGACGACACCAATACATTTCAGTTAAAATTTTTTATCTAGCATGCAAATTGTGGGCGTCACAGGTTTTCGCGGTTTGTGGGCGTTTAAGTGGGCGTGGCAAATTTTTTTTTAGGTCAATCGATAGGTATTGATGAGAACAATACATTTCAGTTAAAATTCTATCTAGCATCAAAACTGTAGGAGTTACAGTTTTGGGCGGTTTGTGGGCGTTAGAGTGGGCGTGGCAGTCTACTGAAACAAACTTGCGCTGCGTAAGAAGCTCAGGAATCTGCACGCCAAATCTCAATAGCCTAGCTCTCATAGTTTCCGAGATCTCAGCGTTCATCCGGACGGACAGACAGACGGACAGACGGACAGACGGACAGACGGACAGACGGTCAGACGGACATGGCTAGATCGACTCGGCTAGTGATCCTGATCAAGAATATATATACTTTATGGGGTCGGAAACGCTTCCTTCTGCCTGTTACATACTTTCCGACGAATCTAGTATACCCTTTTACTCTACGAGTAACGGGTATAATAAAGGGACAAAACATGGAGAACTACAATTTTTTCCTCGCTGTTGGTATTGTGGTTTCGGGTTGGAAATTTCTGAGAGACAGGATCTTCGGTCTCGGGGTCGCCGACCATTCATGTGCATGTGCCGTGTGTGTTTTTCCCGTATTTTATATATCTCTTAGATCTCGAAGAAATTTGAATATAATTTATGTGCAATCGTCGCTTTTTTTCGGTTGGTTCGGTTCGGTTCGGTTAGGTTTCGCTGACCGCCTGTTCTTGAAGTCCGGTTCGGTATAGTTCCCATTCTCGGTCCCCCGAAATGAAGAACGATCCATCCATCTAAACGTTTGTCACTTGCTCCGTTGTCGCCGCCACGTTTGTCTTCTCGCTGCTCCGCCAGCTCTGCTCCTTCGTCGTCGCGTCATCGTCTCTTTTGTCTTAGTTCTCTGGGTCTTAGTTCGCCGATCCCCTGTCCCTACACTACACCCATCCGATCTTATACCATCCCGATCCGAATCCGATTCCGATCCCATTCTCGTCCCGCCACCGACAACCATCATCGCAGTCGTTTATTCCGCCGGTACATATACATATATCAGGCTGTCCAGCTGAGTTGGGCCAACCAATTCTGGGAAAAAGAGACCAGCTAGAGTCAGTTTATAAGATCACGTATCTAGATCTAGGCAACCTATGGTGTAATCAGCCCAGCCAAGCAAACACTAGATTATAACGTAGGTATATGCTGTATTCTTAAATGGTGTATATTTCAACATGAATACAAATATGTTTAGTTACATAATTAGTTTTATTATTATTATAAAGAGTGTAGATATTAGATATTTATGTTGATCTATAATTATAAATATGCACATATTTTTTATATGATCCCTGAAACCATTCAAGGTTACTATTGGAAAACGCATTATGTTACGGTAAACTGACCTTGAAAACGTCTCGACAGAATTTTAAAGTTCTTATCTTAAAGTAATACCTTATTTCTTTAGAGGATTTGCTCACCCAATACCCAACTTTTTCAGAGGATTTGTTCATAATTATTATTATTATTGGGAGTTTTTTAGATGGAGCACTATAATAAATTTAGTTAGATCTGTAAATAACAAAACGTACATATCATCTATATGTGTCGCAGGTGGAAAATGCATTATATTTCTGTTAACTGATACTTTAAAACGTATCTAAAAATTTCCAAATTCCTACCCTAAAGCACTTTGTAATACCTAATTTGTTCAGAGGCTTTGGGCATTCGGTCGCCGATGATATTCCCATCGCATGTCGGCGCAAAGCAGATACGTGTGATGAATTAATAAGCAGCCAATGCCAATCCCCTCCGGACTGCAAGTGGTTCTGGTTCCCCTCGATCCTCGATCTGAGATTCTCGATCCTTCATCCTGGTGCAGTGCTAAGCGGATTTGCGTTTATGGCCATTAACCCGGCGCTGGTGCGTGTGTGGTGCTTCTTTTTGATCTGAGCTGGAGGATCCGCAGATATGGCAGACCGTAGATCGGGAATCGGGGGAACTTCAGATGACGACGGACCGCCGTTTTTTTTGCTTAAGTCCGTCTGACATTTGACTACTTTATTGAATTATGACAGCGAACAAATCAGCGACACGATCCGCGAGTGAAGAGTGCATCCTCTGATCATTCTCCATACTCCGTAAGACCCATTTGGTTCGGGTTTTTCCTTCACTCATTGCGCATGCGCCACCGCCTCCCAAGGTTCGGATCTCAGTACTGCACTTGAAGAAGTCTTTTTGGGATGTTTTTATGCCCCTGAAGATAAAAAAATGTTAAGTGTTAGTAATATAAAAGAGATCTTAAATACTTCATTTATTTTACACTGTTCAAAGATAGGTTAGTATGTATAGCGATAGGAAAAGTTCGGATTATATCTTTTATTTTTTAA